TGATTTAGCATTTTATGACAATTTCTGCTTGAGAGAATTATTACTCGGATGTTTGCAAAGCCAGTCTTCCCATTTAAGGATCACTGTGTCTGGGCAGTAGAGGGGCTGGGTAGAGACATGCCACCGAGGTGCGTGCTCTGGTGAACGGCTTCTGCACTTCAGAGAAAAGGGTCACCGCCAGGCGTCCCTTTCCTGGCCCCGTGGCTCGGACTCCTTCTCCTGCTGCACCCTAGGCTCCGGCTCTTCCTCTTTGGCAAGCAGGCCTCAGGTCTGCCCCGGTGACCCGGGATGGCTGCCCCTTCCGCCTCTGCTGTCAAAGGAGCACGGGCTCCTGCCCAGGCTCACAGCCCCAGGCCTGGGTGAGGCCGCATCCGCCTCTGTGCCCTGAACACAGGAAGTGTAGCTGTCCAGTCGCCTCTCCCCGGCTCTGCTCCCTGAGGCCCGCTGTGCCCCGCACTCGGGGGTTCACCCAGCACCCAGCAGCCCCCCGAGGTGCCCACCAGCCCTGCCCTCTTGCAAGGGGTCTCAGAGCTCAGCCAGGGCCTCCCCGGCCAGGGCTGGGAGGGGCCATCCTGCGGCTCCAGGGCCGGGCTGGGCACTGTGACCCCCGTGACACTGAGACAGGTGAGGAGGGCCGGTCCAGGCTCCGACAGCTCCAAAGATGGGTTTCCGATGCTGGGGCCCTTGTAGGCTGGTGACAGCGGCGTCCCTCCTCCTGACAGTCCGAATATGGAAATACTAGCTTATTTCCTGTTAGTGCTTGACACTTTCAACATAAGACCCTGTCTCTGCTGGGCATAGATTTCTCTTGAGAGCCAGCTCTGCCTCACTCTCAGCCCAGCCAGCATCACAAGGGTTGAATATGGTAGATGTCAGAACAGGATGGAAAGTTTTTCTTTCTGTGGTGTTGGGGATGGAGCCCAGGGTCCCGAGCACACTAGAGCTACACATCAGCCAAGTATGTTAATACAAACACATAGCTCAGGCTTTATTAAATAACGCTACACATATACAACCATGAAAAATGACAAAAGCAGAAACGATAGCAGCTGGGCCCGGAGGAGCACACCTGTGATCCCAGCACTTGGAACGCTGAGGCAGGTGGGTCACCAAGAGCTCAAGTGCAGCCGGAACTACAGAGAGATACCCAAACCGTAGCAACTCAAAGCGGGTCCCAGCCTGAGGGAACTTAGCCCTGTGAGGAGTACCTTCCTCCTGGCTCAGCCTGGCCCTGGAGGTGCTGGACAGGGTGTCTCCCTGCCTCGGGTCCGGCTGTTGTGGGCACCTTCCACCTGGCCCCGGGCATCCCCTGCTCACACGTGAATGGAGGCTGTGCCAGGACAATGTGCCCTCCTGCAGGCCACAGACCTCAGCCTCCATTCCCAGGCCTGCAGGCAAAGCAGCCGAGGAGGAACAGCGGGGCGGGGATGCAGGGTCCCCTGGTGCTGGGCCCCGCCTGTGGGGGGGTGGCACCCAGGAACCTCCTGAAACCAGCATCCCCTGCCCGTCCAGCCCCCGTGTGGGAGCCACTCGGTCCCCACAGAGCACCGCCACTGTCTGTGGGACAGCACCCAGCTCTGGGGCGACCACGTGAGAGGATGGGATGCACACGCAGCACCACTGACGGGGGCACAGGACAGACAGAAGGCAGAGGCAGCACTGGCACCAGGACCTGCTGGGCACCGGGATGCTCGGCATCCCCCAGGCCTGAAGGGCCGGCCCACCTTCCAGCAACTGAGAGCCTGGGAAGGGCACGGGGCCATCTGCATCAGAGCTCACCCTCTGGAGAGAGCTGGCCCCCGCTCTGCATTCAGCATTGTTCAAGACCAACTCAGAGCCACATGAACTGTGGTCCTATGGGGGAGGCTGAGGCAGGAGTATTGCTGGATCTCAGAAGTTCAAGGCCAGCCTGCACAACTCATGAGACCCTGTCTCACAGAGAAACAAAAATACTCATTTACATTTTTAAATTCATTTTGTGATTTGGGGGGGGGTTGAGACAGGGTCTCATTATATAGTTGAGACTGACCTGGAACTCATTATGTAGCCCAGGCTGGTCTCGAACTCACAGCAATCCTCCTGTCTCAGTCTCCTGAGTGCTGGGATTACAGGCGTGCGCCACCACGCCTGACTTTAAATACATTTTAAATTGGGAAATACTTCCATGGCTTGAAAAATGATTGTATTTGGTTTTCATAATAGCTCAGCCAAGAGAGATGTTGCTATTATTGAACAGGTGGGAAGGCCTGGGGCCCTGAGCCCAGCAGCACCCAGACAGCAGCCACCCCAGGCCCGGACCAGGTTCTCACTGGTGCAGCTCTGATCAGGAAGGGGGCAGAGCCGTGATGACTGCCCCTGGTTCTCCACGGAGGAGGAAGGAAAGGTGCAGAGAAATCAACCACGCCTTCGACAGGCCCCAGAAGAATATGTTGAAATATGAAAGGGAATAAGAGCGGGGGAGGAAGAAGGGAAAAGGGATTTTTAAAAAGAATGGAAGGGAAAAAGTGGAAACAAAACTTTTATAAACGGGGAGGGGAAGCAAGGCTGGAGGGAGAGGGGAGGGGAACGGGGAAAAAGAACTAAGACATATTGTGTACAGGTACAAGTTCCCTACGCTGGATAAGATCATTATGTATGACCTTTTCAGAGGAAAACAAAGCGGTAACAAAATAATAATGTAACTGTGAAATAACAATGACTTTTTTTGTTGGCATCTTACATTAACAAAAGAGCATACACAGGTTAGCTACATGATATTGAATGATCAAATTCAAGTCAGAGCCTGCCAGCAGCAAGACATAAATTATGGCTTCATCATCGTGAATGTGTTAACTCAGGAGTTCAGGCCAGTGACAGAGAGGAATTACTGAAAAGCAGTGACTAATCACTATCATTGCACGCTTTCTCTGTTGGTGACTTCTTTTTCTCTTCCTGTCATTTTTTGTTGTTGTTGACTCATTGATCTTGCTTGGCATTTTCATTCCATTGGGATTTTTACCTTTATTGGTTTTCTTATTTCTGTCTAGGTTATTTTTGAATATTTTCTGGAGTGCTGGTTTAGTATGCATGTATTTCTTGAGTTGGTCTTTTTCAGGAAATCTCCCTTTTCCCCCCATCTATTCTGAAGGAAAACTTTGCTGAGTATGTTAATCTGGGTCGGAAGTTGTTTGCACTTACAGCTTGCAATACGCCACTCCTAGCTCTTCTAGCATTTAAGGTTTGTGTTGAACAGTCTGCTGTAATTTTGATCGGTTTACCTTTACATGTGATTTTTTTGTTTTTCTCTGCTTTTAAAAGTCTGGTTTAGCCAGGCGTGGTGGCGCACGCCTGTAATCCCAGCACTCGGGAGGCTGAGGCAGGAGGATCGCTGTGAGTTCAAGACCAGCCTGAGCTACCTAGTGAGTTCCAGTCTCAACTACACAGTGAGACCCTGTCTCAAAAAACCAAAACCAACCAAACAAACAAAAGTTCTGGTTTTGATTGGAGATCAGACAGTAATAGTCACCGAAGTCTGCTGCGTCCACTGCTCCGTCCCGCTGGTGTGTTTCTCTATGGGGCCCTGGGGTTGCCAGGAGTCACCGTGCACCTGCAGGCTTGACCTGCCCTTCCCACGCCATGAGTCTGGGCCCTGGGAGAGAGCACCGCCTCCACCTCCCTTCTCTTCATCAGTTTCCCACGCTGCTCTCCCCATGGACTTCAGTTTCACTTCGGACCCTTCCTGGTTCCAGGACCGCGTCCCTCTTCCTTCTGCCCACGCCCCTCTATCCGTGTCAGGACGCCGACTCTCAGAGGCTTCTCTGCAGCTCCCGCTCTGCCATCTTCCCAGCAGTGTCCACAGGTAGCTCACCAACAGTCAGGGGTTTCTGGTCCCCCTTGCTCCTCCTCCTCCTCAGCTAACCTTTGGCTTTTCCCCTGGCTCAAAGTAGCCAACCTTGATACACTGCGAGCCTTTGAACTCAGCTAATGGATTTAAAGGATAGCCGCTTCACTGTGAGCTATGTGGTATTGTTAATGTGCCTGTTTTGACCACGGAAAGTCAGTCCGGTATAGAATTTTCCACTTGTGGCACCATGTTGGCAACAAGTTTTTGATTTGGAGTGTTTTGGGTTTCAGTTCTATTAGGGGTAGCTGGCTTATACAAAGTTCAGAAAATTCAAACGCACGGTGAAGCTGTTTCTGTGGTGGTATTGGGGCTGGAGCCCAGGGCTTTCACACTGAGCCACAACCCCTTTTTATTTTTTATTTTTGAAGCAACGTCTTGCAGTCTCAGTTGCTAGGCTGTGCTTGAACTCTGACCCTCCTGCCTCAGCCTCCCAGAGCGCTGAGATGACGGGGATAGCGTGGAGGGCCTGGCGGGTGCTACCTCAGGTCTGCCCGCTGCACCCCACCCAGCCCCTCCAGGGGCCACCACTGAGCCCAGCCCTCTTGCAGGTCAGACGGGCGCCAGCGACAGCTGGGTGCAGGGCCGCTACACGGAGAGCGCGGAGCTGGTGGACCCTGAGCTGGATGTGGTCCGGTGGGAGTGGCAGTGCGGAGTTCTCAGCCCTGCTGCAGCACCGGGCCTTCCTGCACTGGTGCACAGGCGAGGGCATGGACGAGATGCACCTCACTGAGGCGAGAGCAATGTGGACGACCTGGTGTCCGAGAGCAGCAGTGCCAGGACGCTCGGCCGGCAGCGGGGGGCGCGGGGGTGCGGAGGCGCAGGAG